TTAAAGATTGATGTGGTGTAAAAAAGAAAGTGGAAGAATTTTATTTATTTATTTATTTTTGGTTGATGAGATTTTGATCAAATCAAATTTCGTTACATCATCTGTTAGTAAATAAATCTATAAGTTGTGATGTACATATCACAATCGACAACTTTTATTAACTTTTCACCACATGTTTTTTCGACTTTTATCGAAACTTACTAAAATTCTGATTTTTAACTAAATCAAAGAGGAGCGTAAATTGTTTATAAAGACTTTTCAAACCTTTTTTTTTGTTGGTTAGTTCATCTAAAATGTAGACTACATTAACATTTTGATTTCTGTTTAGCATTTTATGAAAAAAAGGGCTAAATAATCAAAAATAAATAAAATTTAACAAATCATTTTAAAGATTGATGTGGTGTAAAAAAGAAAGTGGAAGAATTTTATTTATTTATTTATTTTTGGTTGATGAGATTTTGATCAAATGAAATTTCGTTACATCATCTGTTAGTAAATAAATCTATAAGTTGTGATGTACATATCACAATCGACAACTTTTATTAACTTTTCACCACATGTTTTTTCGACTTTTATCGAAACTTACTAAAATTCTGATTTTTAACTAAACCAAAGAGGAGCGTAAATTGTTTATAAAGACTTTTCAAACCTTTTTTTTGTTGGTTAGTTCATCTAAAATGTAGACTACATTAACATTTTGATTTCTGTTTAGCATTTTATGAAAAAAAGGGCTAAATAATCAAAAATAAATAAAATTTAACAAATCACGACTTGCATTATGTCGTAAGTTTTAAGCTATACAATTTAATCCATGTTTAGTGGGAATTAATATTAGATTTTTGGTATAATTTGATAAAAAGTAATAATATATGTGATTGAAAAGTTGTAGATCTTATTCAGCTGAAATTTTGTTCGAAATCACTACACTACCACGTCGCCTATTACATTGGTCAAACTAACTTACATGGACAAAGTGATCAAATTGAATTCAGCTAAAAGTTTGGTGGCAAGAAAAGTACCATTCTTAGTATTATGACAAACTAGTCCGAATGCCATAGTTGAAACTTGGGCTGCGGGAAAATACATTTGCCCTTGCAAACATAGATCGTGTAATATGCCTCGAGTTAATTTGAACCAATAACAACAATCAACAGTAAGAAAGTAGATACTGGCCCAATTTTAATGCCACTTATATAAGAAAATTGCTTGCCATTCACATCAAACCTTTCTTTTCTTGTTTGCGTCATTCGGTTGGGAATTTGTATATAAAATTGGTTGGTTTTGGCCAATTCTTAGTTATCTAAGTGGAAATTGTTATTTGGTGAAAGGAAAATTAAGTCACTTAAATACGTGATTTATTGAAAAATTACGTAGAATATTATGGATATTCTAGAAAATTATGTCTGAAAATGTGTATCTTTCTATATGAAAGATTGTGACTTTTAGCATAATTATTTTTTCAACAAATTCTTCTTATTTATCTTGCTAAAACCACTTTGATTATCTTCTTGAATGCAGAGTAACGGAGTCCTCTGGGTATACGAATAGATATGGTCCATCTTGTTGGCCAAGGAATACTAGTTTCAGGTCCTCGTGCCGCATAACAAAACAAGTTATAAGTGGTTTAATATAATAAAAAAGTTCAGCTTGTTCTCTTGCTTTGATCTTCATTAAGTGGAGTTTAATGGGTTGACTAAGCTGGTAGATGACAATGGCGGTGTATAAATTTAAAGATACTTGATATTTTGGTTGATCTTTTGTGGATGTACTGATTTTCACGATGCTTGATAGAGAAAGAGGCATAATGGTTGTTGTATCACTTTTTTTTTTTTTTTAAATCACTTTATTGAACTGATTTCAATGTTTTTATTGGTATTTTATTACTTTTCCTAGTGTTTGCTACTTTTTTAATATTTTCACTTTTTTTCCGCTTGTCGATTTTTTGAGTGATAAATATCAATTTTTAATAAAAGTTACATTGTATGTAGTTTTTAAATAAGTGACACTTAACTTTAAAATGTGACATTGTGTCACTTTTTTTTATTTTAATAAAATAGTGACATTGTGTCACTTTTTAATAAAAATAAAAGTATCACATAATTTTAAACAGTATTTTTTACTTTTAAAATATTTTTCATATGCTTTTTATTTTAAAAAAGACCCCTAATTTTAAGGGTATTTTTGTAAGTTGTCCATGTTTTAATAGGTAGTTTGTTATTTTTTTTAAATTCTTGTCACTTTTTTTATTGTGTCATCTTTTAAATGTCACTTTTTTGAATTTTTGTCATTTTTTTTAGTGTCAATTTTTATTTTCCCTCACTTTTTTGTAATTTCTGTCATTTTATTAAGCTAATTCTAATTTTTCAATTTGTGTTTTGTCATTTTTTTTTAGTGTTCGTCACTTTCCTTTTTTTTTTTTTTTTTTTTTTTTTTGGTTTTTCCCTTTTCTTTTTTTTTTTTTTTTTTTGTGAATTTCTACCACTTCTTTTAGTGCTTGTAATTTTTTTGTCACTTTCTTGAATTTTTGTTACTTTTTTGAATGACAAACATTTCTTTTTAATGAAAGTGTAATAAAAAGTGACACTTAACTTTAAAAAGTAGCATTGTGTCACTTTTCTTAATTTTACACACTATTTTTTACTTTTTTTTGTAACTTTCTTGAAATTTTCGTTACATTTTTGCGTGATAAACATCATTTTTTAATAAAAAGTGACAATGTAAGTCTCTTTTTTTTTTATTTTTTTAATAGGAAAATTACACGTAAATTAAAAAACTGACACTACAACACTTTTATATTAAAAAATGACATTTAATTTTACAGAGTATTTTTTACTTTTCATATGATTTTTTTTATAGACCTTTAGGTACTTTTGTATGTTGACCAAAACATTTTTGTGCTCATAGGAAGACTAAAACAACAAACAAATTTCCAACCCAGTGGCTTAGACATGTACAACACTAGTCAATAAACCTGGGCCGGGCAGCAGTTAGATTATCACACAGTCGAGCTCTGCTAGTTCTGCCACCTCCATGGTGTACATGGCGAGGAGAACGGTGGTGATGATTTCCAGGTTGTTGATCTCGTCTAGCCTTGGTTTTGAACTCCTTCGGTTTCATTTGGATGGTACTAATGCGTTCCAAAGTTTCCAATACTTCTTCCATCCCTGGCCTGGATTTTTGGTCGGCTTCGAGACAATTTAGTATGAGTTGGGTTATTTCGAATGCACCTTTAGGAGGGTACTTGTCCTCGAGCCTTGGATCCATTAATTTTCTCAACTTTTTCTTATCGGATAGAAATGGCCGGGCCCAATCTACCAAATTAATTTGCCCATTGGGCCTATTCAAATCGAGTACCCGTTGACCTGTTAATATCTCCAGTAGGACGACTCCGAAACCGTACACATCACTTTTCAGATACAAGTGACCTACAAATTTGGCATTATATCTTAAAAAGCAAGCTCTAAAACATGCTGCATGTTAGTCAAGAAACTAATTAAAACAATTACCTGTGGCCACATACTCGGGAGCTGCATATCCGTACGTCCCAACAACGTTTGTTGTCACGTGTGACATACCATCAGCCGGACCTAACTTAGCAAGTCCAAAATCCGAAAGCTTTGCATTGAATTCCTATGCAATTAAATTCATAAACACTTGAAAATTTTGAATTCTTTATAGATGTGGATTAAAGGGGGCTGAAATAATTAATTACCCTATCAAGTAAAATATTGGCAGCCTTAAAATCTCTGTAAATGACTTGCTTTTCAGTTGTGTGCAAAAAAGCAAGTCCACAAGCTGCCCCTATTGCTATTTTCATCCTTGTATCCCAAGAAAATGGTTCTGCTACATCCTCTGAAAATGCACCACAAAATCATGTCATTAACAGCTGAAAAACCCTGCCTCATTCTTCCTCATGAAAACATAGTTTACTTTAATTTCTAGCTACTAGTTTGGGAATTAAAACAGAGAGAGACTACACGTACAGTAGAGAAAATGACAGAATTGCTCCAGAATAGATACAATGGGAAGTGGGTGGTTTTTTTGGTAATATTTTATTCACATGGGGCCCACCCCCATATGAGTGTCTATTTGATTTCTGTAAAAAAAAAATATTCTGTACAAATGACAAAAATCAATAAGACATGACTTCAAATAATGAGTTGGACAATAGAGCCGTTAAAATAATTTGAACAGTTTTCATCACTAGAGAGTGTTTCGCTCATTTGATTGTTGAGAATTAACTTGTTATTGGACCAATAACAATAAACTGAAGATCAACCGTACGATTTTTTCTTAAATTTTTAGGTGAAATACTTCAACAAAAACAAGAGGTGGAGTGGGTTGCAATGGTAAAAGGGTAATAGTTACTAGTAAGTGCATACTTCTGAAGAGATGAGTTTCTAAACTTCCCTTCTGCATGTACTCATAGACCAATAGGAAATGTTTGTCCTCCCAACAATAACCTAATAGTTTGACAAGATTAGGATGGCTAAATTTTCCCAAGAACTTTACTTCTGCCTGCACCAAGAAATTCATAGTTTATAAATCATAATGTTCAATCAATAATTGCATAAAAACAAAGAAATTAGGAGAGTAAAATAGGAATTTTTTTTCAAGATATAGCTTCCTATTAAAATTCCTTTGCTTGTTTACGTTTTAAATTAAAGAATATTATTTAATATTTAAAAGATCAGTCCAAGCATTAAGCCGAAGATATAAGATTAAGCCCCTGTTTGGCCCTTATTAAAATTATAATTCATTTTTCTCTCTCTTTTTATCAATCACATATTCTTCAATAAAACAATATTACATGTAATCCCAAAATTTTTTTTTTATCCAAACATTCTTCAAAAAAATACTATTCCACCAATTAAAATTACAAATATTGGGGGCCAGAAAAGGGCTAAGTGCCAAAGAGTCAATAAAATTTCTTATCCAAACATGTTATTTATGTACCCTTTTCTCGCAACTGTCAAATTTTGTGATTAGGTGATTGTATGGGGAAAGTTTAAAAAGTTGAGATAAAAATCAATAATTATTTTTAATCAAACATTTCATTGGATTCACAATTTTTATCAGCTTTTCAACCAAACATTTCATACTTATATTAAATTTTTTGTCAAACAAACCCTTATAACAAAATTTATTTGAAAAATTAATTGTTTGAACAAGTCAACAATACTTGACTATTAATCTAATCAAGCTTTAACTTTTGACCATTTCTAATGTTAGTGCAAAAACTGTTGTATAATAACTTTTTTGACCCGCAGCTTAACTATGTGAATTGTTCAATTCGTTTCCTTTCAGTTAGAGATTTGACATCTGAATACAATGGATCGTGTAAGAAAATGGTAACACGGCATTTCAAATGTAATGTCACTTATTATCATCTTGCTATATGCTAATAGTCTAATATTATTCGATGCAGTGAGGTGTCAAAATTTCAATGAAAAATAACGAAATGGAGACAGTAGATCTCAACTCTACATAGATTAAGGCAAATGTCAAGTACGCACAATTACGAGTACGTTAAATCACATTTATGTGGACTCATAGGCACTTTTCTGGTAACTTTTTAGTAACTCCGAAAATGATGCACGCTTGGTAAAATAAGTAACTTGCAAACAAAATTTATCGGCCGACGTGCATGCATATATAGTATGCAAGTGCAACTAACCAACCTGCCATTCCTTAAGGCCTTGTTCACTATCTGGATTGGATTTCTTGACAGCAACAGGCATTCCAACATCAACTTTTGATGGTGCATAGGTTTTTTCATCGATCCAACCTTTGTATACTGTCCCAAAACCTCCTTCTCCCAATACACTGTCTGGTCTGAAATTTCTAGTGGCATATTTCAGTTGAGCTAAGGTGAACATTTTCAAGTTTGGAGTAATGATTTTACCACTTGGAGGAACACCCTTCCCGGCCCCGGCCCCGCCTTCTCCTAGGGGATTCGGATCAGCTTCTGAATGCCTGCCAATTTGATGAGTATTGTTGTTGGCGTGATTGCTATTGTTTATTGTCTTTGAATCATCATTAACTGAAAACAAAAGAAAAGTTAGAACAAGTCATAAACATTTCATGGACTCATTATATATTCAAGCGATGCTCTAGCTAGGTTGCAAGGAGACGGAAAATACACGACACAACTTGTGAATTTGCTCTTCTGAGTCAAAAAGTTTCTAAATTTGATCGAACAGAAAAATAAAAGGGAAGCTCTTTTGAGTTTTCTAAAGTATTTAGAGTTTTAGAAGAGTATCTGTTTCTCCATAACGAAAATTGGTAGCATTTCAGAAGTTCCCGATCATACCTGGATCTGGACTCGAAAATTTGGTGGTGCTGGGAAGATTATCTATAGGCTTAGGCCAGCAGGTTCCCATCTCTCTCTCTCTCTCTCTCTCTCTCTCTCTCTCTCTCTCTCTATGTTTAGGTAGTTTAGCACAAAGAAACCTAATGGCCGGCCTCACAAAGAAATCTAATGGCAGGCCTCAAGCAAAAAATAAATGGTCATCAACATCCTACACTTAATCAGCCACATGGCCCACATCTAGGCAACTTCGTCATCGTTTCTTTTTCATTTTTTGGGGGGAAAATAATAATAATAATAATTCTTTTGACATTCATTGATTTTAAAGATGTATATGCATTTGCACTGTGGATGTTCCAAAGAGATGACGACCTCAACGCATAACTCTTTGTTTCTTCATTTATCATCGATCAACGTCATCTCCATTTATTGACGTTAAAATTGATCCATGGTAATCTCAATAATTACATTTTAAGGCTTATTTCGTGAAAAAACATAAACGGTTTAATGCTTTAGATAAATGATTCCCATTTCACTATGTCAAGTTGTCAACACAGTGTGAATTGGAGACTATAGTGGAGACAAAGACTTCAAAAATGATATAGTCAATGCCTGTTTCACCAAGTCAAATCACTTACATTTGAAAATAATCAATAAAATTTGGACAAATTCGGGGGTGGGGTTGGCCCATATTTATTTAGTGTTTGTTTTGATTCACATTATTTCGAAAGAATATATTTTTGAATAATAGATTAATAGAAAATATGTGAATAAAAAATAAAGAAATGTTTTGAATTTGGTGTAATATTATTTTATTAAAAAATGTGTGGTTGAAATGATGTCAAATCACTATATATATATATATATTTTCAAAAATCGTACCTGTTGATTTCTCGAACTTAAGGACTTTGGATGAGCACGATCGTAGTCTTTCGGTACCTGAAACAAAGGTAACGAGGTGTGTTCTCGTCGTCCCTCCGATACTTAAATCAGAAAGGAAATTTATGCGTGAGGCTGTAAACTAAAAAAATAATGAAAACGTACCTGTATTATGGGCTCATGCCTCGTATTTATAGGGGTAGGTAGTACATTCCTAATACAATTGGAATTGGGCGGATGTTCTTATCCGGTACAGTCCTGTTAGGTGAATGAGTTAAAGCGATATTGAAATCATGTTTAGGATAGAGTCCTTATGTGGGTCAAATATTGAAATAGTAGAGTAGAGTTAGAATCCCAAGTACGTAGGAATCTTATTAGATTAATGACAACTGTCGAGGGGTCATTAAGGAAGATCCATTTCCAAGGATTACACATGCTCGAGAATATAAATCACAGAATGTGAGCGGCGCATGACCAACCATCCTCGAGCACAATATCCCGAGGAGGACAATGCTCGAGCACGACAATGGCGGAATTGTGAGGGGAGATATTTTGGGTCCTCGAGATAAAGTGGTCGAGCTTAGCCAAAGTTGGTACATCGGTTATAAATCGATATTTTACATGATATCTTAAAAATGTGGTTAATTTGAGAATATCAATCTTTGATTTCAATTGTTCATTTGAGCGTTAGACAGATTATCTCTGGTACCATATTAAAAATTGAAATTACGCCATAGAGTATGTCAGTTATTTATTCTATCAGATCTTAGCCACTAATGCTCACTGGCAAATACAAAGAATCATAATATTGACTAGGAAGAAGCAAAAGACAAATCTTAAAAGATATTTCCACAAAGGCGAAAAGAACACGCAATTGTGAATATTCTCTTCCTTAATCATGTCTGATTTAACTAAAAGAAAGTTCCTGCATTGTATAAAAGCCACTTAATTTTAACTCAATATACAAATTAGGAAGCTTCTCGCGAAATTCATGAAGATGGTCGGTCTTAATTTCCTGATTACTCTTTCCCACCATGGCCCTTTGTCGTTTACAGCCGGTGAAGTGATATTTTTCTTGCCCAGTTTTGGATATTCACAGCCGTCAGATTATGAAATGCATGATATCAACGGTTCATAATCAAATAAGATTATGTGCATGTACCAATCTCGAAAGGGTGTCTATGAATAGACTTGCTATACATAAAAAATAAGTCCAAGATCAACGCACCTCAACGGGGTGTTTCACGTTTAAAGAATAGTGTAGTTTAGTTTTATCAATTCGTTGGTAAAATAAGTAAGAACACTACATCTATAGATATGACATTTATGCAATTTCAATTATTGGATTATTCCTCTTAACAAGATTGATTTTTTAAAATGGGATCCGCTCGATTGGTGGGACAAGTTAGTAGAGCAAGCCAGGCTCACATTTGATGAAGTGAGCCAGCAAGTGCTTGGCTTATCCCGCAAACGAGCACGAGACGGCTTGTGTGGTGGGCTAAGCCAAGTCCGCCGGTGGACGAGCCGAGCAGCTCACCTCAACTCGGCACATTTAGTTCTTTCAGAATTGTGAAACAAGTGTACATACAACAAATGTGTTTCACATCCAAAGAACAACACGGAGTTAAATTTATCAATTCTCAGACAAAATAAGCAAGAATACTGCTATGAAAAAAATTACATTTATTGAAATTTTAGTCAAGGTGTAAATGGATTGACTCCCCCATTGAATCGGGGCATAGAAAAGTTCCTAACAGCCATTCCAACGAATTTCTGTTGCATTTAAAGATAAATCTATCTGGAAAATCACAAGACTGCAATTACAAAATCCTAACAACATGGGAGGGGTCGACTGGAGGGGAAAAAATACGAGATACTGGATGCTGCATTCGACTAAGATACACCTCAAAGAAGTACTAAATTGAGAAGGCGGCATAACGAAGATCAGAATGAAATAGAAAATGAACTGCAACATGTACACAAACCTTCCCAACTCATTAGCTTTAAAAGAACTCCGAGGATTAACAATGGGATAGAAAAATCAAGACAATCACGCACGTCTCACAGTTCTAAGTCGTGCAATTCCGAATTTATTTAACATCCTCGTGCTATACAAACTCAAGTAACACTTCCCAACTGTCAGGAATATTGGCAACATCGATTATTCTGTACAAGCAATATGAAGTTTGTCACACTTCCCTACAAACTCTCTCTGAGGCATAGACACCCGCGATGTCTTGGGCTATTAGCAAATGCATACATGAATAGATAAGTACATACGAGTATACTTCAATTGCAAAATATTCGAGCCAGTATTACATTCGAGGTGCAAATATGGGACAGATACATGTATGATTAAAAGCAACAGATTTTGACTAATCGATAATCACTATTTTAACAAATTTTTAAAGTCACAAAGATACAAAGATGAGCTCCTGAGTAAATTTTGAGCTAGCAAGAAGTGGCATCAATATCAAGTTAGCAACTCTTCAAATCTTTTCTCATACACTGAATAAATTTGGGAAGCATTTGTACATGCACGAATTTTGCTTACCTCGTAATTCTTCTAGAGGTGAAAAAAATTGAGTGCTCCATATCCTTCTTCCTTAATAGTTACAACTATGTTAGAAGCTTGATGTTAAAACATCAAAAGAAGCATTTTCAAGATCTCGTCTTCTCAATGGCGGTGATGATGTCTGATTTAAAGATCCACCTTTATGACGATCAGAGCTACCTGTCTGAGAAGCTAGGTATTCAAGTGCTGTAACAATATCACTGATGGCAGGGCGGAAACTTGCTTGTTCCTGAAGACACATTGCAGTAATTGCAACTGCATGATGCAGACTTCGGACAGAGAAGCGCCCCTCTAATAGCGGGTCAGCCATCTCAACAAACTTCTTCCGGTCTTTAAGAAAAGGACGAGACTGCAAGAGAAAGAAAATATTTATGTTCAGAATCAAAGCCATAACGCGTGAAGATAGAAATTTTGTAGAACCCATTTTGATAAATTATGTGGTCATCCAATTTGAGTGATCTGAGATCAGTGGTGGAAGACATTTCAATTGTGTAATGTTAGAACCTTTATAGTTGGATAAAGAAGTGTAGCTGAGATTAAAGATAAAATAACACATGTTGTGGGATATCCTACTTAAACTGTGGATGTTAGAATCAAGAATTGAATAAGTTCTTGTAAGTCCTCCAAAACGATATCTCATGTGTGGAGTTTTCTGCTAGAAGTGTATGAACTCACCCACACAATAAGATTCTGCTCTCCAGGCTTTCTGGTGCAGTCAATAACCTTACGTCCAGTTATCAGTTCCAACAGAACCACGCCAAAGCTATAGATGTCTGATTTTAGAGTCAATTTGCCACTCATGGCATATTCAGGGGCACAGTATCCATAAGTTCCCATCACTCGTGTCGATACATGGGTATTCTCACCAACGGGTCCTAGTTTGGCGAGTCCAAAATCTGACAGCTTGGCATTGAATTCATTGTCCAACAATATGTTCGAAGATTTCAGATCACGATAAATGACTGGTGGATTTGCTTTGCAGTGAAGATATTCAAGGCCATGAGCTGCATCTACAGCAATCTTCAGCCTTGTGCTCCAAATCAATGGCTTCTGACCAGGCTCTAAATCTGAAATTGTGAGAATGCTTATAACTAAAAGACGACTCACATTAAAAAAAACTTATATAAAAATTACTTTAGAGGACTTTCTTGATTCGCAATTTGTGCTTTTCCTCTTTTGCAGGAATGTTTTTCCTGAGACACTGTACCAAACTTTTCCAACAGTGGCATATGGAATAGAAAAATGAGAATTCAGACTCCAAAAGGGGGATGCATTAAGTAATAAGGGATTACCGAAAAGATGATACTCCAGGCTCCCTAGTGGCATATACTCGTACACCAAAAGTCTCTGGTCTCCGTGAGCACAATACCCGATCAAGTTAACAAGGTTGGGATGGTGCAGCAGACTTAACATCAAAACTTCTACGATAAATTCTTGATTCCCCTGAAGGCCTTCGAGATTTAGTTGTTTGACAGCAACAACCTATCGTGAAAATCAAACAACCAGCATTAGCCGATAGTTGGCTAAATTACAAACTTCCCATTATTGAACTTCCAATTTGATCGATAATTCATATCAGTTATAACACCACGATTCTTTTAATATTTCTAATAAACAAACAGGTTTCATCTTTTTGAAATAGGAAATCAAATTGTATAGCAAAACAGAACTTGCCATATCTGAATCTAGGCAGCCCTTGTAAACGCTTCCAAAACCACCTTCCCCGATCAAATTAGATTCTCTAAAATTTTGGGTCGCCAACGCAAGTTCCTTGAATGTGAAGGTACGAGCCACATTGCTATCTTGGCCATTGTCTTCTATGCCTCTTGCTCCCGCAGAACTTCCCTTTCCCCTACTCCCTACACAAATTGATTCATCAAAGATTCAAAATCCGTCATTACAATTTTTATCATATATCGAATTGTTCAGTTATTTATCATCTCATACTCTCACTAAAATTTGCCTTTCTATTCGCACCAACTGCAAATCCTAGCAATAATTGATCTAAACAAAACAAATATAAATTTATATGAGAAAAAAAAAATTAAGCACATTTTAGAAAAACAATTAATCGAAAACTAATTCTGTACAAATAAATGAGCTGAGAGAGGAAAAAATGAACCTGAAGAGGCAATGGATTTCGGGGTCATATCTTCATCGTAATCCCTCGCATTCTTACGTCGAGGGGTCATACAAGAAAAGCAACTCATCTCCTTTTACCCTTTTCCTGATCTCTTCAAATTATATTCCCCAACAAAATTGAACCCTCAAATTATACAAGAATTTACAGAGACAAGACCCCAGCAAAATCACCTCAATCATTCAAATGAAATCACGTCATTATGCAATAATTCAAGCCAGCATTTCCAGAAATAAATAAAAAATAAGAAACTAACTATAATTAGGAGAGAGAACAATTACATATTCCCTCCCCTTATGAAACAGACAAGGCCAACCCCAGATGAACAAAGTCACCACATACAAATATCTATATCTACCAAAGAGTGTGTGCATAATTTATAAAGCTACAAAATATTGTCTAAATTCAACAAATAGAAGCCCTGAATTTCGGGTGGGTATATGCCTTTACCATTGAATAAATAACTATTTTTAGTTCTATATTTTTATATGGACTCCTATTTTAGCGGCACTTTTAACGGTAATTACTTACACCCTTCTCTTTTGTGGAATTCTTCTGCAATAACAAAAATTTAACTCTCTTTTCTGTGTATAGTGTGAGTTGGTACCGTTGCAGCCTTCAGTTTTTTTGCCTTGATATCTCAATTCATTGGCCGTAAGAGATACTGTGTATACTTTGTTGCAATCTCAAAATACAAATGAGCACCCGTGTTTATACTTTAAAAAACCGGGTCATGCAAATCTTCTTAAAAGATGAACAATATTGGTAACTTTTTAACATCATAAATAGACAAATAATTCGTCACATTAATCAGAAGTTTAAATGTTAAAAAGAGTAAAAATTCTTTAGTTTCGACTTTCAACTAAAAAAATTAGATACATCATCTATACAAGCTCTATCTCCTACACTATCGACCTGCAGCCCCAAATCGTCTTGGGATCCCCCCGAAATCCAGTCTGCCAATACCAAGGAGAAGCTGCAGCCATCAATGAAAATCAATTCTCAGAGCTGTAAAGCCAAATCTGGTTGATGGGGTGAACCTATCTGTAAGCTAGAACTAGGCGAACCTCCCTGAACTCTTACATTCAGGTCCGGCGGAATTGGAAGGGTATGTCTTTGTTGCATTGACAACGCCTGCCAAGACGACTTGCCAGAGTTCCTGTCACTGGGTTCTGCATTAGATCCCGGTTGTAATGTATTCCAATTTTTGGGCAACTTCGCTTCCTCAAGAATAACATTATCTGAAGCTGATGGCTGAGTCATTGACGGGTTGTTTCTGGGTACCATTTCAAGCGTTTGAGATGGTCCCTCATCCCCACCAGAATGTCCAGGCATGGCTCCTCTTGAAGTCCCCATTGCAGATAAATTATATCCAAACATACCACTAAAACCATTTCTGTGACCCTGATCAATAGAGTTCGACAGAGCCTGGAACTGTGTTCTCAAACAAGCTTCACCCGGTGCAGATGCCTCATTCTGGCTGTCCAGTTTCTTAACAGCTTCAACCATTTTTTCAGAAGGTATGTATGCAACTGAAGAGTTTAAATCAGAATTTGACGACATCACCAGTCTGCTTGAATGGCAATCACCAGTTGGGTTGTTCGACAAATTCTGCTTCTTAGTTGAAAAGGTCAATGGCCGTGATGGTGCTTCATATTGTCCCACCCAACCAGGACCAAATTTTACTCCGGCAGGTAACACAGAATGTATTTTCTTCGAAGCAACCTTCCAGGCTACAGGCCCGAGATTTGCAGCAAACCTAGCCAGGCTGCAAGCATAAGCAAGTGGCTCAAAGTGAAGACCAACCTGTAAGTTCAAAAGGTCAGTTGTAAAAACCTCAGCAATAAGGGCAAAGAGTTAATTAGAGAAACAGCAACAGATGGGGCAACACCAAAACGGAAGCAATAACCTTAGCACCAAAAAAAAGACTCTGATGCACGGACACTCATGCAGCCTACTAGGGCAACATGTCCATGTCCAACACGTATCGCGTCATGTCAGACAGCGAGACTCCTCAAACAGTACATGACATGGATCAAATAAGCCATATGACATGTCCTATTTTCAATAATATTGTTTAAATTTGAAACTCAAAAGATACTTTAGGAACATTCCTTAGGCAAGTATTCAACGTGGCAAATGTCATATCCTATAATAAAAGGTACCAAATAAAGATATAATATATAAAATTTAAGACTTTAAATTGACGTGTCCTGACATGTCCATGTCCCACTTTTTAGAAAAATCATGTGTCACCGTGTCCGTGCAACTTAGATGACAGGTTATCAAAATACATACCGGCATCAACTGCTTCATATCTCCGACAGAATTAGAGAAAACAGATGGCTCATTGCCAGAAAACTGGGGATGAAACTGCCTGTAGGTGTCACGTCTGTTCTCGTCGACTGTAAAATGTTTCTTCCCATATTTCATATCAGCCTTTAGAATGGATGCTGCAAAATAGATTAAAAAGGATCAACTCCACTAGAAAAATCAGAAAACATGGAGTTCAGGTCAGTAGCACACTAGCACAAGGTATGCAAATACGAACCTGGAAATTCATCATTCCAATCAACCAACCACTCAGAGTAATTTTCACCATGTCTTGGTCGGTTGGATGACATAAATGGATCCGTAGAACGAAATCTGTAAAACATAGGCCCCTTTCTTAGATTGTAAGAATTAGACCCAGTTCCTTTATCCTCTCCACTAGCAAGAGTTGCACCTGAGGAAATCTCAGGACCGACATGATCCACAGGGGAAGTTTCAACAGACTTCTTCTGGTTCTTACTTGGAGGCCTCCCTCTCCGCACAATCTTGGGTTGTGGTTCACCGTCATCACCTTCATGTTTCAGATTTTCAAAGTCTCTCTTTGCAAGCTCACGCATTGTCCGTGCCTAATATAACACATTATTATATAGAAAGCAAGACATAAAATAAATTGAGTACAAGATGAATCTGACAAACCTGGCGAAAGTAAATTGTATCTGGAGCATTATACTGCATAGCATTTGAACATATCAAAAACACATCGGCCTGGAAACATAATGGCAGGACAAGTCAGCATTTACTCTACATCAATATTTCATGACATCAAGATTGACAAAATAGACAGGAAGTCAAAAACAGCAAGTGCTTCAAATGAAGCTCCAAGGGTATAATAGAGATCAGAATGATACAAAAATAAGGAATTTGCCTTGCATGATCTAAACTTCATCCAGGACAGTTAATTATAAGGGATTATTTGAATGATTATTTGTGCAAGGATGCATTATTTAGACAACTACTATAATAATCTAAAGGGAGAACTTAGTCACGAACTGAGTTAAGATCAATAGAATGTCAACAGCATGCTTCTCGTACGCTAAATGGACATCAACATGAAGTGACACTAGCACATGCGGTGGATATCTATCCTAATGAACACATTCATATTCTTGGCCTCTATTTTATTGGTATGTACATATTATTCTAATTTCTATACATTGATAAGAGGTGATCGTGAGCAAAGAAATTTCAGGATAAATGACAGAGATAGTAGCCAGGAAACTATGGACAATAATTCAATATTTATATCCTCACATTTTTATTGTGCAAGTCAAAAGCAATGAAAATAATCGGAGTAAACCACTCACCCCAACAAATTAAAGAAAAGCATAAGGGAAATCTCTATCTTCAACAACCAAGAAAAATTGTTATAATTTTTTTGTTATTCAACCAAACAGATTAGTGACGTTCCCATCAATTTTAGGACAAAAGAAAGACTCGAACAATAATAAAATGGATCACAGCATCACAGAAGATTAATCAAAATAGAATTAGCACAGTAAGCTATAATGCAAGCCAGAAGTACAGCTACCTAGTTCATGTAAAGTAGATTAATCAAGTAAAGAAAAGAGTGCTGTGCTAATTCTACCATATATTCTAGATCAATGCCCATAAGAGGGAAGCTCTGAAAAGGTTTCAAACTCAAAAGTCTAACAAGCATAATAATTTCAATATGACAGAAAGAGAACCATCTAATTTCCCATGAAGACAAGCAGACAATCCCAGATCTCAAGATAATTTGCTTGATTCTGTAATCAACTTCAACATCAAAAGAGATTTCAAACAAAGAGATAAATCTAAATAACAAGTCCAAAAATTCTAAGCTCAGATAATCCAATTCCAACCTCCAATTCTTCCAAATTCTTATACACTCCACCATCAAGCTTTTTCCTCACAGTCCCAAAATCCATAGGGTGCTCGATTATTTCATGATAATCAGGTAGCTGCAAAGAAACAATTAGCTCTAAATCAACTAATTAAATATTAATAACTATTCTTTCAGCAATGAACATGTCATTTCTATAAAGCACCTCATCGGGATCCACAGGTTCAGAGAATACACCATGAGAATCCTTCCTGTTTCAAGAAACCAATAATGATAGGCCGTCAAAATATCAAAATTGAACAGTGCTAAAGAAACATCGATTTCTAGAAAGCTAAAAGAGAAAAACATACTTTTGAAGTCTGTCAAGAATGAACACCAACAACTTTTTGTCTGGCAAAGGTATCGTGGGACCAAACCCCAATGGTGACCCTGTCCACAAATTAATAAAATAGCCACAATTAGATTAGATCAAAACACCAAAATTTACCAACTAATTTTCACAATAACCGAGAAGAATTTTGGTAAGAACCATGTACAGTATCCGTCGTTTTCAGAACCTTTTTCTCCTGCAAAAATTGATAGAGAACCCATTCGTAAGAGCACAATAGTTAAGCAAATAAAGTAAACAAATTACAGAGAATCATTGACAATAAAAGTTACAGTTAAAAGGCGGCCAACCAGCATTTAACTGAACGAGTACAGCAAAGAATTATACAACTATCGGCTAAAGAAAAATAATCAAATCAAAGTAAAGACAAATCTCAAGAAACGAATGCTTTATAAACATAAACAGTATATATTAAATCTCATAGAAGTCTACATAAATAAAGGAAATTATTTAAATACAAAAAAATTAATGATATAATAAAATATAAGAAGAAAGATATGCATGAATTTACAGGTATCTATGTATAGAAACTCGAAAAAGTAGAACAATTTATATATAAAAATAAAAAATAAAAATAGAGAGATATATTATTTATAGTTTAACAAACACAGAAAGAAATTTGACTGAGTCAAAATACAGGCTCCCACTTCAGATCTTGGAAGTCAGAGCACCCAAAAATCCAAAAAAAATAAACGTTAATTTTCACGCGCGAAATCACAAACCCCCCCTCCAATTTGTGTATTAGAAAAAAGTAGAAAACCATCAATTTTTTTTCAAAACTAAAATGGCCCACCTCAAATT